TTAACACGTTGACGACAGCGCACGACACATACGTCCCGCACTTTGCAGGCCACGTCGGACAGCGCGGGACGTATGTGTCCTGCACCCATCTCAAGCAGTTTTTCGCGCATCCCTACCTTTTTTCCTAGCTTTTTGTATTCAAATGATAGGCCATACTTTCTCATAACCATGGAGCGACGTGGTCCACAGAAAGGTAGGTGAGCCCATGTTTTGCCTAAGTTTTCCGAAGCCTGCGAAATCTTTAGCTTCTGTTATTATTCGACTTCTGTGTGGGTTGAGTAGGTCAAGTAAAAAGAATAATATGGGTCTCTATAAATAGTAAAATTTCAGAATTGTCGTAGGGCTCATAGATTTCTTCTGAAGTGGCGCGAAGAAATTTCGCATTTCGAAGCAAAAAGCCACATGTTTCAGGATGTTTGTTAGTTTCATAGTCTTAGCAGAAACTGCAAAATAACCTCTCAGATGAAGGAAATCTTGCAAATTCTTTCAAAACTTGCTCATTTTATACAAAATTCTTTTTCAAAGAAGTAATCGACCGTTGAAAGTGTGAAACCGGAAACATTACCTTGGCGTTACTCGGACAAATTTTCGCCAGAGGCTATTTTCAAAAGACTCCTATGGTAAATAACTTTGGCAAGCATTAATAGGAGCAATTTTCTCATCGTTTACAGCGGTTGTCCCTTCGGCAAGTTTGTTCTTGGAAGGATATGTTGCTCTTCAAAATGTGTAAAAACTAGCATGTCTGGGAAATTTCCTGCGTTTTAGGGAGAAGTCACATCATTATCACCTTGAAATCAATGTTTCCTACTAGGCCACACAACGATGAAGTTGAAGCTGTTTCTCCGTACTTGTAGATGTCTCAAACAATCGTCTCGCGCACAATGTAACCCTGCTTGTTTGAAGCATTGTTGGACCACGTCTGGAATTTTTTTGCTTTTTCTTCTTCCTCAGATTACGATGTCACGTTGTGCTCTAACCGTCCAGTGTCATTTTCACTCACTCTTTCTTTTTAATATTCTTTTTTTTCTTAGCTTTTGCTAGCTCACAACAGAAAAAAACTCTTGATATCGTTACCAATTCTAATTCCTTTTTGTCCCAAAAAGCGTTTGTCTACGGTGGGTTTTTGTTGGATAACTACTTTTCTATGTGTTTATGCTAGATAAATCAACTGACTCGGTTACAGGTCTATTCCATTTTATGCTCCAAAAAACGCACCTTGAGAGACAGCGCAGGACGCATGTGTCCCGCGGCCGCCGCACTGGCAAAATCGCCCCTGTCCATCGCGGCCAAAATGCCCAAAACGCGTGTTGTCGTCAACGTGTTAATCCGCAGTAGAAAAGCCTTTTCTAGCACAGTTGCGTAATTTCCTGAACACTTTCCTTGACTCGGTTTGAAACATTAGCCATTTTTTCCATGAATTTTGCGTGTGGAGCAAATGACTTGAAGTGTATTCACGCTCAATGTTCAGCAGCGATCTGACTAGTTTTAGTTTAGTCATTTATTGGTCGAGATAGTGTGAACACATTCCAAATTTCCACGCATGTCATCGATTCGCCCGACTCTCCCTATCCCTCTCGAACTGGCTATACTCCCTCAAACTCGCGGATCTCATTTTGCACTGACGTCATCACCATTTCGCTGAGGCGTTATATCCGATGTAACGATTCGTGCAATGGGCCCACAGTGTTCAACGCTATGGATGTCATTAATTCCTGGCGATTCGACGAACGACGTGATCTTAAGACACGTGCTATCCGTTACGCGCCTACGATCACGACCGCCTTCGGGTGTGGGTACTTAGGACAGAACGCGACTTTTTCGCTCTTCGCAACGCGACATCGCGCGGCAGGCTGGCGCACCCGTAGCGAAAACAACTACGGTATATAAGAACGCGCGATTGGAGCGCGATATTTGTGTCGGCTTTGATTGCGACAAGGAGTTTGAAGCTTAATAGCCATGGATTTGATAATGAACGAGGAAATGGTAACCAGAAGTGGACCGCTAACTAGCAGTGAAGAGGGAGGTAGGTTATTTTTGCAGAGATGGATGGTAGAGCTTCTGGAGAACCTGGAAAGAGGAATGGTTGATGGACGTTTGATGAGACGACTGTAAACTTCTGCATAGGGGTTATTTGGGGCCCTGATCATGAATATGACACTAATTTTTCCCATTCGTGCTGTTTAACGCATACTTTCTGCTTTACTAAGCTTTCTCACCTACAGCGCCTACGACTAAGCATAGGGGAGGGGAGTGAAACTCCGGAGTGGGTAAACCACGCACCGTGTGGCAAAAGTTGGAGTGTGTCACACCACAGGGGAATGGCCTACCCACTTTGGAGCCCTACACTACTCAAAGGCTTAGTCCTACTGCGATCTAATTAGTGCGAGGGCGCAGACGAGCAGGATGCAGGCGCCGAATAGCGCTAAGAACAAATCAGGACCCCGAATAACCCCTATACAAAAGTTTAAAACGAATTTAGTGGGAAACAGTTGTGGCGCCACCTGGCCCCAAATGGCGCCAGCGTCCAAAATGAGTATCATATCCGTAATGAGGACAGAAGCGTTTCGTAAAAGATGTTATACCCTTATGCAGAAGTCTATACAACAATATGAACCCACAAAATGCAAGCACAAGCCCTATTAAAACCCTCGTTCACCGATAATTCGTAAAACACCATTTTGTGGCATCGCCCGGAATCGTGTAAGTCACAAAACGTTTTCAATAATGAGACAGAATTAGTGATTCACCGCATTTATCAATACAATGGGTGTGAGCGCGGGCAAGTAAGGAATCAGAAACTTACAAATTCACGCATGCAAAAAAGCTGCTCCAATCGCGCGTTCTTATATACCGTAGTTGTTTTCGCTACGGGTGCGCCAGCCTGCCGCGCGATGTCGCGTTGCGAAGAGCGAAAAAGTCGCGTTCTGTCCTAAGTACCCACACCCAGCATGCGCCTCAGAGCAGAATGCAAGCGCGCCAGTGTGCGACCTCTCCTACCAAGTACGTTGTTAGCTTTCCTCACATCTTTGTGTTTTTGTTTTGTTTGGACCTTCGTAAAACGCTCCTTTGAACAAGCTTACGCGCCTGCGCTGTCTGTTTAGATCCACGCCCGCCAGGATAGTGCGTTCATGTCCTACCGGCGAAAATCCATCATCGGCGCCTGTCCGTCAACTGTTCGCACTAAATTGCTCTACAATGTTGAATCCGCATTCGGATCTTCACTGCCTGTACACCATAGTCCCCTCGGCCTCTATCTTTCAATCGATCACTTACCGCATACTTAAGAAGTGTATACACCAATCTTTGCGAACAATCGGCGACAATTGGCAAAACTCAGTCGAGCTTTTCGGTCGGTATAGCCAGAAATGTTGAAGCTTGCGACACTATGCAACTAATCCTGAATAGTGCAGAGTCTTGTTTCAGATTTTCAAGGATCCTGATCCAGGATTTGGTGTTACTGCAGTTTCTATCGCTACCAATTTCGTACTGTCAAATATGTTTCTGTATGGCATAACAGGACGTGCAAGGCTGTCTTAGTACGTTTCTTGTATGTCAGATTTACGAAGATTTTTCATATAAAGCGGTTACCGGTCATGTGAACTTCCACTTCCGTTTTGCCGCTTGAGAAATAAATAATTATAGTACCACATCCCCTCGATCTTTTACTGAAAACACTAGCAGACTTACCCTTCAAATGTTAATCTATTATTCTTGATGGTTCATCATTTAATGCGCTTAAAGGCACGCTCCGGGATTAGACACGCTTACGTATTCGTTATTTCGAACGTAGTAGACCGGCGCACAAGCGTTAATGTCACGCCCCTTTTGTGCTCGAACGGGGGTCGCCCCAAGAGGCCCATCGCGCGGCGAAGGAAGAGACGCAGACGCGGCAAAGGACGGGTCGCAGCGCATACTGTAGCGGTTAGGCGTCAGTTAAATAGAGTGTACCATACTACGTCTCATATCGCAAACACGCGCTGAACAAGCCGTTTGGACAGAGCGAGCACCCGAAGTAAGCGTAAATCACACTGTTCCTGCTGTCATTCACGTAACTAATACACGGCGCATTAACGCGCTGAAGTGCGTGCTTGTCTCTCATTATTCGTTTTCTCTGCAGTCTTTCAAAGGAGAGAGAATATGTCGAGCCAACCCGCCAACTATACTAAGTGCCGTTCATGTAAGAGGTGGAGGACGGCACGTACGCCCTAGTCTAGAGCGACACCCGGGGATAACCCTCCCCTAGCCTGCGCGCGAAGCGCGCGCAGTGTTCAGCCTCGCCGAGAGGCGAACTCTGCGACGCTCATCCATTTTTGAATTGCTACCCAGCGGGGTAGCCTCATTGTAATCATAACCCATAGATGTCACTAGCGAATCGCCGTGCGATGCGACGCGCATTTAGATACTAGCAGGAACATCGTGATTTACGCTTACTTCGGGTGCTCGCTCTGTCCAAACGGCTTGTTCCAGTGCGTGCTTTGCGATATGGGACGTAATATGGTACACTCTATTTAACACGTTGACGACAACGCGTGTTTTGGGCTTTTGCACCGCGTGGGACCAGAGCGATTTTGCAGGCGCCGCCGCTTCACATAAAATCCGTGAATTCTGAGCTTTAACTATGCAAAACCCGGATGCAACAAAATGTTTCGAATGATATTTGATGTATCAAACTTCTTAGAAGGAACAACTGTAAAAGTTCAATCGAATGGACGTTTTCTGGCAATGAAAAGGCAATTTTCGGTAGCTCTTGCTGTAATGGACCTCAAAATTATTTTTGACTCGGTTGCTTCACTAAAAACTTGTATCTTGCTATATGTGTAGGTCTATACTTGCTTTTACTACTCTTTTTTATGACCGAGGTTGTCAGAATATAAAGAAAACTAGGAATGAACACAATTGGGAAATTCGTAGGCACTTTGAAAAACCTTTGCTAAAAAGGAGCATATTCAACCATTCGATGAACCTTGCCGTGTCTATGGTGTGGCTATCTATAGAATAGATGCAAAAGAAGTTAGAAAAGAAGTAGCGCATGCGCGAAAAAAATAAATATTTTGTGTGTGCAGCGCATGCGCTGCACACGGTCCCACACGGTGCTCAAGGTGTGATGCGCATGCGCTGCACAATGTCGTCAACGTGTTAACTGACGCCTAAAGCCACAGTAGCGCTGACCCGTCCTTTGCCGCGTCTGCGTCTCTTCCTTCGCCGCGCGATGGGCCTCTTGGGGGACATCCCTCGAAGGCGCATGACAAGGACGCTAGAAATTTGCACTACCCGCAGTCCACTCCTTCGTCTGCGAGCCCCGCCTTCCGCTGTCGGCCACGTGATGCTGCTTTCAAAGCGCGGTGGAGTCGCGGCAGCGATTGCATTGCGGTCCAATGTCATTGGCTGGAGCAATTGGCAACTTGTTCATCACGCCTCCTTTCTATCCCTAGGTGGAATTCGGCTGAAATAAAGGAGGTCTCGTTCGAGGCGTAATCGGGGTTTCTCTTGCTTTCCTTTTTCCTTTTCAGACCACTTCCCACCTCTAGCTTCATTAGTGAACGCTTTTCCACATATATTACGTCCCGATTCTAGCCTTTAAATGGTTACGGGGCAGCGGTCAACCAACGCGTGAGAGTCCAGACAGAAAAGCACATACTTTCTGCTTTCTAGGACTAAGCCTTTGAAGGAAGGAAAGAAAGCAGAGATGCTGTAATAGTGTGCATATGCGAGAGTGCCCAGAGAACACTACAAAACGCTGAATCACCAAGCCTTTCGGTTGACCGCTGCCTTGGAGGTTTACGGACTACTTGAACTTTCGTCCATGGTCCTGCCACGAATAACGGAGACCCAGACGATTAGAGAGCGGGTGAAGCCCAGGGACTAAGCCTTGGAGAGAGGAGGGATCCGCAGAGAGCGCAGGCGGGAGCACCAAACGAGGTGGTTTGAAGGACCGGGTCCAAGTAGTCGTCAACCGCCCTTGAACTCCTTGAAATATGTTGGCTCCATAGTGCTTCTTCCCTCACAATATTACTTTTTCTCTAGGTGGAATTAGTCCCTACAGTTGTGAATGATAAGTTTCATTGATCGTACCATCTGAAGCACTGCGAAATCCAAGAATTGAGGTCTACAGCGATTATTCTCTAACCTAGCGTAGGTGTTCCGTGTTTACCTTCTTGTACTATGCTTTCTAGTTCCGATTATGATAATTGCTCTTATGGTTATACCACAACGGCCATTTTCCTCGATATAGCATTTTCAACAATTACACAACAAACACGAGAACTCATGCCAACGAGTGCCACTTTTGTCATGAACAACTTTTGCGTTCATTAATTAACTGGTCAGGTGCCCACCGTTCAGTACAGCGGAACATTTATTTATTTATGGACATGTGGAAGTACACATGTAACAACAATATAAACTTAATAATGTCAGTGTTAAAAAGCACCAGCTAATAGCTAGAAACTATAGCAGTTCAATTACGTCCTGATAATTCATCATAATTTCTTGCTTACCCATCACTTCACTCTTTAAAGGAGGAATTCACGATTAGAATGAAGGTCGAAGAAAGGGAAACTGACCTAGTTGAGGGACCCACGGACCTCCTGAGGGTGCGAACTGACGCGCAATTCGCATGGAAAAATTTGACCTCGGCGACCTATCATGCCTCAAAGCTGGCGGGTCCGGCGATCTCCGCCCACCGATCATCTGATCACTCGCCGTAGTTCAATACGTGGCGAGTGATTAGATAGCTGAGAGAGCGTAGTGTTGAAGAGGGCACAGCGATGAGAGTCGAATCAACGGGCAAGGAAGGGGTCCCATTTCTCGGGTTCTGGGCCGTTTCTCATGGTTCTTCCTTCTTTCGTGTACCACTCACCATCCCTAGGTTGCTTTTTCATCGTGAATTCGTCCTTTAAAGAACAAGTCCTCCTGTGGCTTATTTTGCGAAATCGCTGCATGACCCATCGATGCAATCGTGGAAACCATGTCCCTTTCACAGTTGTCAAAACTGGCTTCATCAATTGACCATCGCAAGCATTTTTTCTCGGTCGTTTACTCGTTTAATTCATAGATTTATGGCAATAGAGAGAACGGCGAGTTAACCCAATCAAAAAATTTTTTAGGGTTCAAAAAACCTTTTTTAATACAAAGTATATTGAAACCTTCCTTGGACCACATCTACTACACATATTTATCCATTTGCCCTAGTTATTCAAAAATATCCAAATAACTCATAGTATGGTCAAAAAGTTAGTGATTACTAACTGGCAGGCCATATGAGGGGGGTGGGGGGAGGCACTGGCGTGCATGTGTTAAAATGACTACTGATTCTCTTCAGAAGCTAGGTAGAACATCTTGCTGTGGCGATCTGTCGAGTACTACTTTGCAGTTCTTTCTTTATGTCAAAATAAATACCTGAATATTTGTCATAGCCTTTGCTTGGGAGTGGGACTCAATGTTTTCGTGGGTGCCGAGTGATTCAGCTTGTTTTCATTTCAGTCTCTTGAGCATGGCAACTATACCATGTTCCGTTCTCTTGTGTATTCGTGATTCACGGAATGATTTCGAGAAGTGGAAAGAGCTCAAAGTTTTACGACTGAAGGGTGTTCCAGACAGGTGAGCCGTTATGCGTTCTTCTTTTAAATTTTTTCACCAGTTCTATCCCACAATAATTGTCTTCAGGTTTATGCCGTACAAATGTAAATACGACTGGACAGATTACGAAAAAGTACTGCAGGATAGAGATAGAAAACAGTAATAAATGACGTATAGCTATCGTTTTTGTCATGGCTGTGTCTGCTGATCCAGTTCTAGAGATATTTGAGGTATTTGGATGATTGACTTTGGTTGCAGTGCCAGGTGAATCCAATAAGGTTGTCGCTCTATGCTGTAAAATTGGAGGGAACAGGGAAGCGTTGTAAACGCTGTGGTTGACTTAGTACAGTATTACACTGTAATAGGGAAGAAATCTGCCTTGTTGAGATAAGCTGCCACAAACTGGGGTGAAGCAGAAGCGCTCTGCAATAAAGTATATTGAGTACAGAAATCGGTACAGACCAATCTAAAACTTCAAGACAAAGCATTCGGCATTCCCTTAACCCGTTTCCAGGATGCGCCTTGCATTCAACATCTATTCACCATCGCATTGCAGGTTAAATGCGATTTGGCCTACACAGTGACTTGCAGGTTCAGCAACCTTTGATGTCCAGTGTTTTTATCGCCAAGACTAACCTGCCACCAATTAGTTGACCCGAGGTAACAGTTTTAATCTGAAATCTCATCCCGGATCGTACGTGATACTTGCGCCTTTTGCCACCACAACAACTCCGCCCACATTAGAGGCAGTAATGGAAATTGTATGCGTGTTGGTTTTAAACAGTGTAAGCCTGTTGATACGGATCAACCTTCCCAAGTCGATCATTCTGCAACTGTTCAATACTATAACGTGAAGAATTTGATTAATATGACTGACACTCCTATATGTGAGTCTAAACGGCACCTATACCCATATCTGAGGTCACCACATTTATTGGACAAGAAAGAAAAATGGGGATCACTCGCACATCAAAGTTAGAATTTACAATTAAAAGTTGGCTCATTGGAAACAGGGTCAACCCTATTGTTGTTACTCCTTGGAAATTTCTTACGACCCTTCATGGGTTATTTGATACGACCCCCCCCCGCCCCTCCTCGCATGATGGTGAAGCTTACCATTAGCCTCTGGCATACTATGTATGTCAAGTAGTATACTGCAGGGCTCCGCTAACCAGTATGAACACCCTATACCGGGAATCAAAGGCAGCGAAACAACGTGCGAATTTCTGCGTTAAGAGCTGCTATCATTCAATGTGCCTCTAGTTGCGTAATTGGCCCACAGTTTGACTATGTGGCTATGAATGATGAATATCGATCTCATTATTACATTAACGTCTGGTAGCTCACTCTAAATGCACATTGTCCGACTTGTTAGTTACGGTGGTACCGTACCCGGAAAAGAAAGTGGAGGTTTGAGTGAACTTACAGCAAAACAAAAATCAAGGAAGTAATCGAAAGCATTGAAAAGAGGAGTACAAAAAACAAACAGGTTCGCAAAGTGTGCTATACGATGGAAGAAGTGCAAATGCGACTTTTTAACCTTCAAACGATCATAACTTTGTTCAAAGTCATTCATTTGGGAAGCTGAACACGGTATAATAAACTACAGGATTCAAGCTTTCTAACGAGCACCCAAGCGTTCCTGAAAGATCAGCAGTTCAAAAATTAGTCCCGTTGTTACTTTTTTGGGGGGTTTGCGTTACTATTTTTCTGGAACCGCGACTTTTTACCTTCAAACGATCATAACTTCCTTCAAAGTCATTCATTTGGGAAGCTGAACACGGTATGACAAACTACAGGATTCAAGCTTTCTAACGAGCACCAAACGTTCCTGAAAAGTCAGCAGTTCAAAAATTAGTCCCGTTGTTACTTTTTTGAGGGGTATTCTTCAAGCCATTTTCCGAAAACGCGGGTTTTCTTAGGTTTCACTGCCCGTAACTTCTTGGAAGACCAATTTCATGTTTAACTTAGGATGTGCTAGAAAGCTTCGAGCATGCGCTTGCACTACATCCCTTGCCTTGGTGCGCGCCACGCCTCGGGCGCCCTTCTAATTCGCTGATTCATTTGAAAGCTCATTTAGAGGGAAGCGTGGTTTATAGATGCTCTAGTACCAGTCATCTTACGAAAACGTCAAGAATCCCGCTGCTGCCCACCGAGAGAGTACGACCCCCCACCCTCAACTGAGTACGACCCCCGTTGTTACTCGTAACAACTTAGGGTTGACCCTGATTGGAAACAAGGGTACAGGTGGTTAGTGGAGCAGGGATGAAGAAGAAACCATTTGAAACGGCCCGAAACCCGAGAAATGGGACCCCTTCCTTGCCCGTTGATTTGCGCATTGATGCGACTCTCATCGCTGTGCCCTCTTCAACACTACGCTCTCTCTGCTATCTAATCACTCGCCACGTATAGACCTGCGGCGAGTGATTAGATAGTCGGTGGGCGTACCCCGCCAACCGCGCCAAGAGTGAGCCATGCTAGATCGCCGAGGTCAAATCTTTCGCTGCCAATTGCGCGTCGGTCAGCACCCTCAGGAGGTCCGCCTGTCTCCCAACTATGCAATTTTCCCTTCTTTGACCTTCGTTCTTATCGTGAATTCCTCCTTCAGGTGAACTTAGGAGGAATAACAAAAAAAGAAAACGAGGAAGGAAAGCTACCAAAAATGGATCTCAACGACGGTTGTGTTTGACTCGTTCCCTACTTGTAAGATCCTTCCCACACCAGATTCGAAGAATTCTGACCAAGTTATACTGAAGGAACCAGCATTCCTCAAAAAAACCCAGAGGCCGAGACGTAAATATGGTGCAGCTGTGTTTTCCGAGCGAAGAACGCGTTTACAGGATGACGTGCTCAGGAACCATTCATCTTTGTAGTACACTTCTTCCGCTTTACGTTTGGCTGCAATGGTTTTGCTGAGGGGGTGGAGTAGGAGGGGGTGTCATGAGAAGTGTGCAGAGGGATCGGATTATTGGGAACTAAATTTCGCGCATACCGTTTTCTTGGAAGAAATAGATGCCGAACAAGGAAGTCGAAAAAGGCGCAAGAGTGGCAGCCGAGGCGTCGGGCTTCACACAACACTGAAATGCATTTAGCATTCAACAAGGCACTTGGAAACAAAGATATGCAGCTGCTATCATATGCAGCCTGGGAATCAACTCCGAAACTGCGCTCTCAAATGGTACCCGATTTTATAATAAACTCAAACCGACTGCTCGGCTCATCTAAGGAGTAACAAACCGATATCGAATGACTTCTCACGCTTTTTGGAAACAAGGCACCCCATTATTTTTCGAAGGAATTTTCGATAGCTATTTTAGGCGGTGATGCTGCCGATGTTTGTTGATCGTTCGCCGGTCAACTATGGACGCGGGGTGTGGCCGGAATGCGAATGTTGTCCACGATCGTGACTCGCTGTGAAGAAGAGACTAAGCCTCCCTTCGAAACATTCCATTTGATCTCATGCAAGAACTGCTTCGCTGCTCACTGACGATATTTGCCCTGTCATTGATCCCACTTAAAATTGATTGCTATAGTTTTCCCTGCCCAAAGTGTTCCCATCCCTCTACAAAAGCAAGAGTAAGTTTACATTTTTAAAACCAGGTCCTTTGGCCACTTCAGGCAGTTGCATAGAAGTTTTTCTTGAAGTCGATCCATTCTATTTCGATATGAACCGGTAAATGTATTTACTACTGTAACGTAGTGCTGAAAGGGTAATGAGAATTGACGACTATTACCAGATGAACTCCGTCATTCCCTTTAATCACGAAATTCCTTCTGGACGTGGACCGCTTTTTTGAAACTGCTCTTTGCATGTCATGGGGCGCGTGGGCTCATTCTTTCTGAGCAGCCCCCGGATTGAAAGGGGGAAAAATTTCAGTGAAATTTTCACTTCAATATAATGCACGGCATTTTGTAGCATTAACCATTTCAAAAGAAATTGGAAGTGGAAATTAGGGAAGTGTAGAATTTTGTCTGACGTCAGAGCTATCAAATCTCAAGTATTGTAGGGCGCTCGTTTTTTGGGCAAACACAGGCCTCATCTGCAGTAAAAATTAATTCATGACTGTGTTTTATACAGGTGTTCTTTATGTTCTACTGGGAACTGTACTAAAACAGCGATGTCTCGTCCAAGATCCCGCTCTTAATATGTGTGACTAATATCACAGTAAGATTTACATGTTATGTAAGGTTTCCGAAAAATGCTAGGAAAAAAATTGTGGAAGTTTTCAGATATTTGTACCAGTCACCACAAAGATTGTCCGCATACGGAGAGGACCAGTCACCAGCAACTAGCGCTCAGGTTAGTAGCACTTACTAGGGTCTTATTGAGGGTTGAACAGTCTGCTTAGCTTGGGGGGCTCCCATTGCTTCCCGATTCCTATCGAAAGCTCGAAGAGTTGACAGCTTTTCTTGAACTGAAAATACCGAGATAAATCAACGTAATCGCCGCGTGCCTATGTGACGGCTATAATGCGTTGGAAATGATCTGTCGGTTTTGCGTTATGCTAATCGTGTACTCCGAAAGTGGGTAAGCCAGCCAGCAATGCTGATTCAGCTCACAATGGCGAAGAGGGGGTAAGGCAGCGTGAAAGCCAGTCCTTCATCCGATAATATGAATAGAGTTTGAATCTGATTCTGATGCACAAATCCTATGGGGTTGGAAAGCCTTGCTATTTTAAAACTGTTCATTTCTCGGTCCTACATGCTTTTCCTGCGAACGTTACATGTGTTACCTGCCGTCCCTTTGCTCGCCGAATACCGTGAATGGGCGTCACTAACGCCTTCACTGCTCGGTGCCAAATGTAGTTGACAGTGGACCCTCCTCGCTCAAACGCACAGCAGCCCCTCATGGCTTCCGTTTAGGGCTTTCACGAAAAAGTCTGATCATCGGACCGGCTTGCCAACGTGTTTGGTTGACGTCCAGAATCCAGGCGGTAACGCTCTGGAATAAAGTTGACCATAAAATCGCATGACGGACCGGTCCAGCTAACTGCGATCCCTTTTGGGGAACGGCTTGTCTCGAACATTGACGTGGTGCGCAATTTCAGAATTCCCTCTGCATTTTCTTTTATATCATAACTCCAAGCATGTCCTCACCTTGGGTAACACTGACCGTATTCTTGCCCTGCTTCCGTGGAGAGTCCAAGTTTTTCTAGATGTATG